TTTGTATTTTTAGTAGAGACGGGGTATCACCCTGTTGGCCAGGCTGGTCTTGAACTCCTGACCTCAGGTGATCCACCCGCCTCAGCTTCCCAAAGTGCTGGGATTACAGGTGTGAACCACGGTGCCTGGTCCTCTCTCTCTCTTTTTGAGACACAGTCTCTCTCTCTCGCCCAGGCTGGAGTGCAATGGCGCGATCTCGGCTCACTGCAACCTCCGCTTCCCAGATTCAAGCGATTCTCCCGCCTCAGGCTCCCGAGGAGCTGGGAATTACGGGCATGAGCCAGCACGCCCGGCTAATTTTCCTGTTTTTAGTAGAGACAGGGTTTCACCATGTTGGTCAGACTGGTCTCGAACTCCTGACCTCAGGTGATCCGCCCGCCTCGACCTCCCAAAGTGCTGGGATGACAGGCGGGAGCCACCGCGTCCGGCGTGAGGTTTGGTTTTCCAGCAGTCATAGCTTAGCCTCGTTTCATTCTCACGTCCACCCTGTCCAGTGTCTGCCACCTTGGATATCCCGTAGATGGGGAACCAGACCCTCCAAACTGACTTCAAATCCCACAGCTGGCTTCGGGCCAGAACCCAGGTACCTATGACAACAGTGACGGGAGCGGTACTGGTTCTCAGATTCCTGCGGGAGACGGAAACGTCTCGTTTGTCAACCGTAGAGAATAGGATTTACCGGCATAGAATAATAGTCGGTGCCTTTGATACACTCCACGTCGGTCACGTTTCTGTTCAGGTCCCAGATCAACTGCTGAGCCTTTTCTTTCATCCTTAGGTTCCGGATTGGTGCATTTGGATCTAAAACGGTGACAGGTTGGAGTTAGAAGAGATACACACAAATCTTTTTTTTTTTTTTTTTGGAGACGGAGTCTCGCTCTGTCACCCAGGCTGGAGTGCAGTGGCGCGATCTCGGCTCACTGCAACCTCCACCTCCTGGGTTGGGGCGATTCTCCTGCCTCAGCCCCCCGAGTAGCTGGCATGACAGGTGCCCGCCACCACGCCCGACTAATTTTTTGTATTTTTAGTAGAGATGGGGTTTCACCATGTGGACCAGGCTGGTTTTGAACTCCTGACCTCAAGTGATCCACTGGCCTCAGCCTCCCAAAGTGCTGGGATGACAGGCGTGAGCCACCGCGCCCGGCCGGTAAAAGGCAATATTCTATCACATTTTGCTGGCCCCCCGAGGCGAGAAACATACATCAGATATTTCTCCAGGGGTTTATCTCTGATCGGCCACTTAGAAAACTTGAGGAAATGACTCTGTAAACTGTAAGGATCTTGAGTGGGGTTATCAAGGTCAACAACCTGGGTCTGATAAGCAAGACCAAAATAGACGAACATTTAGACTTCTGGCATTATTTTCCCCTAACTTTGAAGCATAATTTATTCCTTCAAACAAACTCACTGAGAAAAAAATTCTTATAAGACTATTATTTATTTACTTACTTATTTATTTATTTATTTAGAGATAGAGTCTTGCTCTGTC